GGCCCGGGCCGGGCGCGGGCGGCGCCGCCGCGGGCGGAGCCGCGGTTTGAATCGCCTCAGCGAAGGGCAGGTCGGGAGGGGCGTCGCGGCCCCTTTGTCCCGGGGCCGCTGGCTTCCCCTATTGTCCGAGGGCTTTATTTTACGTCCTTAACTTTGTAAACGGCATAACGTGTGCAAGTTTGTTTTATAATCTGTTCTAAGTCACTGCTGTCAGTTTCAGTTCAAGGAAGATCTCCTAGCAAGAGATTTGGCACGCCGATAACCCCCCCCACACACACACCCCCCGCCGCCTTCATGTCTTCTTCAGGAAGCTTTAGGAGATATTTAAAGAATTCAGAGGGAGTTTACATGCCGAAACGAAGCCCAGGATGAAGGAAAGGTTTTCACGACTTAAAACAGCGCCTGTGCTGTGGGAATGGAGTCCAAAAACGCTGCAAAGAAACTGGCCCCGGCTTGCCTTTACACTCCCAGGGTCGTTTCCTTCTGCCTCGGGGGATCACTTCCACAGAAACCAAGTCTCTGGCCTTCACCTTGTACCCAGCCGAGTTACACAAGCATGAGAAACCCCTGTGCTCCTCGAGCGATCCTCTCCCTCCAGTTTCCATCAGGCATTGCACTCACACACATTTCTGTTAAGAAACAAACAAGCAAAAAAAAAAAATCACAAGGAAAGTGAACATGATTTTCAGTGTAATTGACTCCAGGGAGAAAAGTACATACAAATTAATAGGCTGGGATTCAGGAGCTGGAGTATGGGTTTCTGAGTAGACTCCTTTAGGAGGTCATTAGAGGTGCCCTGCTTCCATCAGCCACACAATGGAAAAAATTACAATTTCCTCTTATCTCTAAGATACTTTAAAACAAAGCTGGTTTCTTACTGACCAGCACCTGTTGGTACAGGGCACTGACTTATCTTACAGTCCTCAGGCAGAAATGGAACAAAGATAAGTACCCCAGAGAGACAGCTGACTCCAAGAAGTATTTCATAATGCAATGTGTTATTAAAAAACTATATTATATTCTAATATACACAATGTGTTGACACAACCAAGCCGAGACCTTTGTTCATACTCTTTATTGCATGCTTGCACCAACCAAGTTGAGATTAATTGTTTTCCTCCCTTTACTGTGTGTTTCTTGACATTTAATGTTATGTCTGAGATTCTTTTAGTAGCTTTCATTTAAATAGAAGACATCAATAACAGTATCTGCTGTAACCCAACATTTAAGCCTTGAGATTCCACTAGTGATCTCAAACAACTCTTCCGTAATACATATCACCAAAGCAAGAATCTGCTGATATCTTGCATGTTTATATCTGCTAAAGTATCATCTCATAATGTGTTTAAATGAGGACACATCACTGAAGTTTAGAAATAACATTTTACTGGCAGCAAATATGCTCTTGTCCAAAGAAGAGAGCAACCATGTACTTTTAAATTCAGATCAAGGATGACATGAGATCTGGCTGTTTTTCCACATTCTCTTAGATATTTCAGAAAACATCTTGTCTTTCAGGATTGCTTTCAGGGTCAGGCTGACACATTAGCCAGAGGCACAAGGGAGCAGGCAGCATCAGTGATAAACCAATCCTATACTTGTGCAAAAGCCTATTCACTGAAACATACTGGGAAGCCAGTTGACTACTTCAAGAAGTTGTGTTATTCACTCAGTTTAAGCAGGAACCCAGGGGGCACTTTTAAATCAAATCAAAGGACAGGCAGGCTAGAAAATCCAAAACACAATGTCTAACTTCAAGCAAAAAGGAAGTTACCATCATTTCCCACAGCAGTTTCTAAAAACTTGGGCAAGTTCCCTCTCCTGCAGTGGGGAAGAGAAGACAAAGTCCCCAGGGCTACTCTAACACCCAAACAAGTACAGGACCACCTTATGCGTCTGCAACTCCTCGCCTGCATCTTCTGAGGGCACAGCCAAATCTAGCTCCCTGCTGTAATGTCTCAAAGAGATCTAGGATCGCTTCGAGCGAATATATTCCACTCCCCCAAAAATTGATTTTAAATCCTCACTCTGTTTTAATGGCCTCAACACAAGGCTTCCTGTTCCAAAGGATATGGAAGGATATTCACCTCAATTACTCAGGCTGCTGGTCTGGGTTGCAGCCTGGGATGTGGCAATACATGAGCTGTGTCCAGGAGCAGCAGCTCCCCCCATTCATGCCATGCAGCTTGCCACCCACATGGGACAAGGCCTAGGAGGCAGTGCCCTTACCCACACTGCTGGGACAGCATAACTCCAAACCTGACTTTGTATCACCATGTGGCTTCAGGCTGCAGACAGACTCATTGACCTCATCTCCACCTTGCCTTCACTACCTATTCTTATTTTAACTTATTTTACAAATGCTTTCTGTTGTGCAAGTTTCTGCTCTGTCCTCATTACTCTGCTTCCTCCAGGTAATTGAAGGCTGACTGCAATAATGACCAAGTTTCCTAATGTTCCTAGTGAGCCAATTTCCTAGGTTGGGTCTACGTTACTCAAATTCTCCTCCCTCAACCCTCCAGTATATTTTTACCACCACAGTGATTTTTTTTCCTTTTCTCCATTCAGTATCTCCATTCCCTCTCAAAGCAGGTCTAACCAGCAAGTCTTAATAGCAGCCACCAAGTGAAGCTAGCTCCATGTGCGCTGACATTGCAAGAGCCAGCAGTTTGCACAGAAGTTCTAGTGAAGACAAGGGCCTCAGAGTCTCATTAGCCCCAAACACCAAACTGCTTCCAGCTGTGATCAAGACAGACCTAACCACACACACACTTGTGCCAGGACAGGACAGCATTTCAAGGGAAATGCCCATCAACAGCCACTGCAGGAAGTAAACAGGACAGATGATTCATTTGTTAAGTCAACACTGAACCACTGCCTCAGTCTTATTCTACAGGTGACGAGCTTCCCATGACTCTTGGTTTTTAAAGAGACATAAAAAGTAAACACACCTTGGCATTGTTAAGAGCCCCATGACATGCTTTAAATTAGTTAATACTTGGCTCAGATGGTAACATCTAACCAGGGTAACAATAATCTACCTAAGTTTTGTGTGGTAAATATGTTGATTTTGTTTTTTTTTAATCCACATGAGCTACATATATAGTAACAGCTGGAATAGCCTTTATTCTATTTGGCAAAGGACCTCAGGTTTTCAGTCTTAATGAAGTTAATGAAAGCTTAGGAAATGCACAGCAAAGTGATATACAGGAGCTGGCTAGGCTTTTGAATCTCTCCAGAATAAACACAGAGAAGAGGTACAAGGCAACACACACCCTAGCAATTCCAGGGAGTACTATATTAACTAATTGCTTAAATAAAGGCTCTTAAAAGTTTGTTTTTAAAGAAATCAGAGGCAGGATACCTCAAGATACTTTCTATGTAAGCCATGGATCTGGATTAAGTCAGTGTCCACTGGTACCAGCACTGCATTATCTCCAGAGTAAGAGATTCCTCCTCCAGACTGCCTAACCAGACATAGGCTAAGGAGTATCTCTGAGGACTATTTCCTTTGCAAAGGTGTGACTGCAGCATGCATATTTGTATATATATGCATATATACACACATAACCCAGCAACAGTAAAAAAAAATATGGAAACATAAAGCTCCTTTAAAGCCAGTTATCTAAGCCAGAAGCCTGAGGGCCCAGGAGGGATTAAACAGCCCATGATGGAGCAGTTTCACTGTAACTGAAATTTGAACTTTTTAAATAAAAGCACATCCAGGCATGACTCCTGAGTCACACCCTTCAGGTTTACCATGCCTCAACAGCTCCCTGTTCAAATCCACAGCAGCTCTGAGTCACAAGTGCCTGTAAGAGCCTTCAGCCTATTTAACTCAGTATGCCCAATTCACACTTTATTAGCAGAAAAAACACAGATGGAGGGCAACCTCACCAGACAAGCCCCCCTTCACTCAGGCGAGCCACACTGCGCAGAGGACATTTCCCCCCCATGAGCGCTTCCTCTGAGAGCCCAGTGTAAAAGCCCACTGGTTCTCTCTGCTTCACACTTTATCCACATGAGCAACACCTCAACCCTATGTGAGCCACCCTCTGTTTTCACATTCAGTCCAAGCACAAACCAAGCCCAGACAAATACAAACAAGCCACAGCCCTCCCCCAGAGCACAGCCAAGTTTTCTGCCAGCCCTGGTGACTAAGCACCCCCATCACATCAACTGCATGCAGACAACAGCCCCCTCTGCCTGGGGAGCTGCTGCTCTGGAGGGCGTGGAGGGATTTTCTTCAACCCCCCCCCCCCCCCCAAGTATGGTGCAGAGCTAGGAACTCACCTGGCCACAGCTCCAGCCTGTCCTGCACCCCAGCAGCCTAGGACACCCATCACCACAGCCAGCTGACACAACTGTGCCAGTTACTCTGGGACAGATCAGAACAGGAAGCTCATCATGAACACCTACTCAACTATTTTTAAACCCTAAGGAAGGCTGTATAGCCCCTGCTAATCTCTTGTGCTGTTACAGCTGCATCACCACCAAACCACACACAAGCTGCTAGAGCAAGCTCTGGTGCCTATCGAGGGGCTACAAGGAAAGCAGCCCTCCCACAGCTATGCCAGCACCTCGCTGCTGTGCTTGCAGCCATCCAAAGCACCTCTCCCACTCACAGGCTCTGCTCAGCATCATGTACTCAGTGAGACCCAGTAAGGTCACTGGCAGCAGAGCAAGACAGTCAAACTGCTGTCCTGAGGAGCTTAGCATAGTCTTACACTACTAAGTAGCATCTATTTAACAACTCAGCCATGCTTGACTGTGCTTCCAATTTAAGTACCATAAAATCAGGTGCAATGAATTCAGGCCACCCCACCCACCGAGCCATTTAAAGCCCCCCAGGCCAGTGCAGTCTCTCTAGAGCTCTCTTTCAGC